CCCACCCAGCAACCTTTTCTGCTTCCCACTCAGCAACCTTTTCTGCTTTCCACTCAGCAACCTTTTCTGCTTCCCACTCAGCAACCTTTTCTGCTTCCCACCCAGCAACTTTTTTCTGCTTGCCACCCAGCAACCTTTTCTGCTTTCCACCCAGCAACCTTTTCTGCTTTCCACCCAGCAACCTTTGCAGATTTATTTACACTATAATGCATGATTCGCTTGATGGTTGACATTCAAAATGAGAAAATTTTCAATGAATCTTTAGTCACTTTTGCAATAGCAAGACACGATATTTGGAAAACTGCTTATACCGTAGAAAATATATGAATGGATTAACAGACAATTGAAATTTTTGAAGTTGGCCAAGCAACTTTAGAAGCCATGACTGCAGTGGCGGAACGCTAGTGGATAGTTTACATTGGACATTACATACCTTTTCAACCAGTTGATGCTACGCGCGTCAGGCTTCGAACTCGCATGTAACTGTGGTGCCGCTGCAAGGAGCTTCCTTCGGGATTAATTAAGGCACGTTTAAATGTGTACGTTTTGAGGTTGCGTTCCGCATACCATACGCTCATGCAATGCACTGTCACGGACATACAAATCGACGCCATTCGCATTACACACCTGTACGTTGTGTTCTGCAATCAAAATCGCTCCAGAAGCGATTTTGACGGATTCACATCACTTGCCATAAGTGTTGGCGCGCACAGGAGTTTCGCCTCTGCACAACTTGATCAACAGCCCTCATCTCATACTAGGGGCGTAAATCATTAGGATGGGGCTATGAAGCCTAAACCTCCCCTCATTTTTGACCTGAGGGGTGGACTATTGGATGACGCTCCCGTTTGTCGTGGGGAGGGGAAAAGGGTGGATGTTGAGGCGTTTCTCAAACTTACCAACAACCATAGTACTAAAATGGGAGAAAATTACATAAACTTTTAAATACGCCGTTTGGTGGAAGGTTTTTTTTTAAGGGGTGATAAACTCCTGCATTATGATTTGGGCTCCCTGGTGTCATCTAATGTCCAGCACCACCCCCCCCCACCACATACAAACTTTTTGAATTTCCATGACCGCGGGAAGCTTTAAGTCACCCGACCGTTCCCTCGTCCTCTGACGGATTTTCGCCACTGGCTCACAATCTGACAAATGAAACACATCACAATCTGGGTTATATTTTGTTTTTAGGTCTTTGCTACTCTAGAATTGTATACCTGTTTTGTGGCTTCTTTTTTTTAAACTGGGGAAATGGCTTCCCTTATCCATCTTCAATTCTTATCACTTTTAGAAGTACTTGAAATCCAGTATTACATTGCTATGGAACGTATTTTCATGACGAAGGTAACAGGATAAAGGTAAGAAGTTTTTTTTCGTAGATAATCTGAAAAGATGGCTTCATACTACTTATTCAGAGTGCATAAAGCAGAATCATAGGCAGAAAACATCGCTTCATAGTTCTAATTTTATTTCATTAGAAATGCTAATCACAAGTGGATATTCAGAGTACAAGTTTGAACTCGGGGACGGTTTCCTGCATGGTGAGCACAGAACCAACGCATGCGTCAGGATCTTGGGAGTTTTGTCTTTTTCAAGTGGGATTCCATGGACACCACAGGAAGCGACATGACCGCAATGACTTCAACTCTCTAAAGAGTCAATGTTATAATGTCTGAATAGTTTCCTACATTGCACTGACTTACCAGGTAAATGTAAGGCTATGCCATGCAGCTCCTCAAACTTACGAATACTAATGAGGCCTTTCTTGGAAAGAAAAAGGAAATTCTAATTTCTTAATGGTTCACTTAAAGGAACATTACATTTATCGTTAACAGTGGAAAAAACCCCACTGCTCCCCATACAACCAAAAACTTAATACACGCTTTTGGAAAGAAGGCAAGTTTTTTCTCATTGTTTTTAAAACTCTTTTTATGGGGGGGGGGTGCCCCAACTTCCCCCTCCCTGATCCATCTTTGACTTCAACCTGAATTTTGTTTCAAGTGTATTACCTGTCTACACCCTGAACCTATCCGGTGTCGTTCGACATGACCAAGGCCTAGATGATTTATCACGTATTCTCTCAATGGACCGTTGGTGATGAGGATTGCTGGACTGAATCCAAGGTCATTGAACGCGGTCGCAGGAACAACATCTGCATCATAAAAAGAGATTGTGTTTAAATACATAGCGTTTATATTCGTTTCATTCGTGGTTACATTGAAGAAATAGGCCTAACAAACATCTCTCTAATGGCATGTTGTCACACGGAATAATAGGGAAAACAAAACATCTCTCTGTTTCAAACGGCATAATTGTTTAATTAAAGTTAATCGCAATTACAACGGGCGGTACGTTTCTGTCACAGAGGAGTACAGCTTATTATTTTAAAACACTAGCTGAATGGTCTCATGTGAGAATAAATTACTACAGAAAGAACATAGGCCTTTGCTGCTACCAAAAGACTGGTTGACCCCTACACAATCATTGGATTGATGGGGGAGGGAGTATCTTCAAGGCGTGTATTCTGTAATATTCACACAGCGTCTAAATCTGCATGGAAACCTAGCTTATGACACTCAATTTTGATTTACTGTAGTTTGTCATGTGTTAACAAATCGAATGTGAAAGAGCAAATCCGATCACAGGAAGGCCAAAACTTGGCCCTTAGTTCAATCGGGCGGCATATGATCAACTTGGTTAATGTTTAGGGAAAGAATTCCATATACGGACAACACCAAATTTCCCTTAACAGTGTTACAAAATCCGTCAGAAAGCCTGACAACAAGGCCTAAAAGTGAAAATTAGCTAAGAAAATTTTGGCCAAAGCATTTACTTAGAAAACAGTTAGTCAGACAAAGTCTCGCATTCAGTTTGTGCACAGGGCCTCAAGTATTGTAAATATGGAACTCTTTCCATGTGTAGATTTGTAGACTGCGTGCTTTCCTATGTTGAAAGGAAAATTCGTTTCTGTACTAGGATAATTTAATAATCTTACAAAACCTTTCCATCGTCCCCAGCTTTATCGGCCATGTCGCTATTATGCTCTTCAAAAATCAAAATCCCGCGTGTTTGTCTGAGTGTTCATGCACAACCCAGACCAGGAAGGAGGTGGTTTCTGATCCTGTTCCCATCTGTGGTCACAGTGGTTCCTTTGCCAAGAACAACAGGATACCAAAATCAGACCTATAAAGACCACGGGGGGAGGGTAACTTGACTTATATTATTTTGCGAAAGGATTGGGCTATAGAGGGCGCGCTTGGTGACCTGAATGCATTAGAAAACGAAGAATCACAGAAAAGGGCAAACGCTCCTGCTATGACTGAAAAACCTCTCCCTCACCTGAATACTGTGTGAAACTGTGGGTGTTCTGCCTTCGTTATGAGAGCACAATTCTAAAGCTAACGGTAGGTGGACTATGTAGCCTTTATTTGGGACTGAAGAAGTAAGCCTACAAACGTGGTTGGACCATAATGATGTAGGATGGTTCTACCGTAAGGTGCCAGTGGATACTTTGCCGACGAGATACAGATGCTGAGTGTACATGTACATCATGCATGTTGTCCGCCACTCCTGCAGTAGTGCGGCGGACGACGAACCCACACTATAAATTATCCTGGGGTTGTGTCGGGCGTGATATTGCTCGATCTTTGCGCGATCATCTTACTGCACGATTTTGTCGATTATTCTGTCATCAGCCATAGCCAATCACCTTTTCTTTCTAAAAAGAAGTAAAGTTGGACAACTTGGAGATGAGATTTCATGCTTGATCAACTAATCACACAGAGCGATTGGGTGAATCAAGTTCATTCAATCATGACGATGATGCAGCCTTTAGCAGGGCCAGGTGTAGCCCCAGACTGGGGGCCAGTTTACTGGACTCCCTAGAATACGGAGTGAGTTCAGTAGACTGGCCCCCAGTCTGGGGCTTGGCCAGGGATGGGTCCAGCAAATTAACCGGGGGAGATGAGGGTGGGGCAGGCCCCTCACTTTTCAGTGTTCAACTTGTGGACGAGCAGACTGGGACATAAATGCGTTACATAATGTGTAAATAATAACTGTACAGGACGTTCTGGTTTTTTTTTTGTTATTTCATTTAGGTTGTTCCTTTCTTTCGGTGACAAAGCAGGGTGGGGGGGTTGATCAATTGGTTGATATCATTTGATGTTATGGCACGACTGGTTGATATCATTTGATGTTATGGCACGACTGGTTGATATCATTTGATGTT